TTTCCTTTCTTTCCTGTTCTATGAACCTATTGCCGAAGCTGGATCACGCAGGTTTGCATTTCAAATCAGCTAAGAGTTTGGGTTATTTCTTTGAGAAATAAAAATACTGGCATTTGAAAGAGACATAAGAGATAAAAAGAGATCAAAATAAAGCCTTGTGCCTCTTTCTATTGTTCTTCCAGAGCAATCTTCTTATTTGTTCCTTTTCCAAGAGGTTCCTCTGGTGACCTCCAGACGAGGTGTAAAGTCTTCTTTGATTGGACGAGACCTTCCATAGCCTGTGTAATGAGGGGATGACAAAGTACTGAACCATGGGATCAATGCTGGAGGTGGAAAGCTGTTCGTTAGCGTAGGTATGTGAACATCTTTGTGCTGTTTTGTAGGGTGCGAGTGGGATCGATGGTGCGTTTGCTTTGTGTAGGTAAATGATCATTGTGGAGATGGACAGGACCACTTTGTCTTGGGGCCCTAAGGGAACAAAAGACAAATTGGCCTAGAACTCCCATCATCCCTTTCACTCTCAATTCTACAACTTAACACTGGTAGTGATGCATACCGGAGGACCTACAACGACAAATCGGGTAAAATATTTTTCAGCAGCTCTTTTAGAAGGTCAAAGGTTACTTTTTAAATGGCATTTATTTCCAGTCAGTCATTGTTAATATTTAATTTGCTGTATTTAAGAACCAACACCTTTAGTGGCAAATGTCTTAAAAAAGAGAGAAAGGACATAATAGAACTTAAAGACATAGCCTCTTGAGATTTGAACAAAAAGGGTCTAATTTATGTTGTACATTATCCCTGTTGTTGTTCCTCTCCTTGAATTTGGTCCGGTGTTCTGTGTTTGTGTTTTCCAAACAGACTCAGTCAGTATGTGTATTAATAATGGGATTTTTTCAATGATTCTTTCTGCAAGTTATGTAAGAGAGGTGACAAATGACTGTCTTTATGAATGAGTCATTTGAATAATACATTCATCTGATTCAATCAAACAAATAGATTAATTCAGGAACGAAACATTTCACCATCTTTATGAGTCATTTAAAAATTTATTGAACGGATTCATTAAAAACACTGATCCATTCAGGACCTTAATGAGAGAGGCATTGACTCATTTACTTTTTTAAAAATACCAATTAATTCCAAAACAAAACAGTAGCTGCCTTAATGAGTGTAGAAGTTTGTCTTTATCTTAGCATTATACTTAAATAACAATTAACTAAAAGTTGGTACAATCCCTTCAATGAGCTAGTTTTGTATTAATCAGCATGAGTTTATAAAATATACTTTGTCTGTCTTTGACTATGATAAATTATGAAAACAATGAGAAATATCTGAAGTTGCATGTCATGGATTTATGTGTGGTTTGACGTTCTCTATAATTTATGAATGTTTTATGTTGCCTACTAATTCAATTACATTAGGCTTCTTTTGAAAAACATGCCATAGAGACTAATTACACAGTATGTGCTATTAAACCATCCTATATCTGATAAAACAAGATAACGTATGTTTAACCAATCGGAATCGAGTATTCCAGTGATAAACCTACAGTGTATATTCTACTATGTTATATAAAGCATGTTTAGTGTACCTGTAGAGTAAATGCCCTCATAATTCAGATGCTACATAAATATGCCAAGCTCAGAGAATTGAGTCTCTGTTATTGAAGAAATGAATATTTATTTATAACCATATTAATCATGATAGTAATAATAATAATCATAATCATAATGATTTCATTAATAAACAGTACTGGTGTTTGAAGCACATTGGATGCATACAGAAAGAAAACGGAAATTTAGAGTACAGATCCAGGACAGCAGAAGTTTCGTCATTTCATTTTAAATAGAATACTTTATATTGGTTTCTTTTTTTTTTCTTTAGTGTTATTTTTTTCACGCTTATGTATTTGGAACAATTTGAAAAAGAATGAGAGAAAATGAAAACAAAAGAAAAACCCAAATGATAGAGTTGTTGCGTAGAGCTTGTGTTGTACATGAAGAGAACCTTTAATATAATACATTTTATATTGAGATGACAGAGGAAATAGCTTTTGTATATTTTTAGTAGAAAACAAAGGGGCTGGAAGCACACACATGTACATACAAGCTCAAATGCATACACACTCACTCTCTCTCACACACACACACACACACACACTACATGGAGGGTAACTATCACTGAGACAACTAACATGACTTCCATTCAAACTCTTGTGCTTCGGGGATCTGGCAATGACGATGAGGAAAATCATGTTGGCAGGAGTTCGTTTTTTTCCTTTTTTGTGTTGGGAAAAGCAATTGCCAAGATAAGTTTGTCGTTTCCATTGGCTTGACTGTGTTTGAATGAAGTTCAAGGGAAGTGTGCAGACACAGGTGAGCTGCATAGCTGGTCCTACACCTGCCCTAACATCTAGAGCAGGCGACCAGTGTAGATTTGAAGGACGTTTCGGATGGAGGAACAAGTGGCAGATACATGCGCTTGAGTTTCATTGTAGTTCTGACAATAGACTATAAGCAGACTACAGTTTGCATTGGTTCTCTGCTTTGGGTCGAGGAAGACGGCGAATGACTTTGGTGCTCAGGATAATGGGCTGTTTGAGAGGAAACAGAGTAGAGGGAAGACAACAAGCCAAAGAATACAGTGCAAAAGCTGACATATACCTCACAGCAGGGTTGAAAAAACCAGGACTTGTAAACAAGTAATGTCTCATATGGACTAAAGCAAAGAAATAAACCCAGAGGTCTCAGATCTCTGTAGAATTGACATCTTTTTGTTAGGTTTTCAGTCACAATCTCTTCCAGAGCAGAATCCGTTACTTGGTTTTTAGAGTCCCTGAAACAACACGTCTTCGCTGAAGTTCTCGTCGCTATCTGACCCGGCGAACTGTTTTCCATGATCCTTCAGGTAACAAAGTAGTACAGTCACTGAGATAGGAGTCACCAGTTTTGTAGAAAATAAAGTTTTGTTCTTAAGAGGAAAACTGCAGCAAGAAAGAGTAACATCATTACCTATGGAAGGGAACACATCAGTTCTGTCATGTAACACCTGAGTCCGAGGAAGCGCATGATTTTGCAAAGCTTGGGAATGCTGTCTGTAGAGGTGGGCTATCTATTAAATGTACCATTCCTTCTCACTGAGCCAAAATACACACTGTAAAAAGCAGGAAAACGTGCAGTTGTTATTTCATAGACGCATTTCCTCCTGATTTGACCCACTTGCTTTCATTGGAGTAACCTAATGTAGTCAGGTTGATTCAGTTCTGTTAAATATGAAAATGTTGACCTGAATTAAACCAGTAAATTTAGATGTTAACAAATGAAGCACATTTTAGGCAACTCAGCAACAATTTTTTTTACAGTGCATTTCTTTCCCAACATACCGCTGTTCATCATCGATTATAGAGTGACACCTCTTTTGAATGTGGGTCAACTGTTCGCCATTTGCATAAAGAAAAAAAAAACAAAGGAAAGTGGAAGTAGATAAAAACCAAAGAGCATAATTCTGCTCTGTCTCATCCAATCATTTTATGTCTTTTCTGCCATTGTCCTGCAGGGTCATGATAATGTCCGTCGGCCAGCTGGAGTGCTCCTGTTATAAAAGAGAGGTGTCAGCTGGACCGTACTTCAGAACGAAGACTCGGTTTACCGTGTCCACATTTACAAAGTACTGCTTAAAAAACAAAGACATGTACATAAAAAGTTGAATTACATTCAATAGCTGAACCAAAGATACAGATGAACAGAAACAACGCCACACAAGTGAAAATCTCTCAGTACTTGCATAAATTGCCGCCGAAAATTAACCTGGACCACCGAGAAAAAAAAAAAAAAGGTTGTACCTTTTTGAAGGGTCGCAAAGTCACAAATAGATATATCCATATATAAATGTTTTTCATACTGGTAATACAATAATACAACATTAGTAAATGGCTACAATCGACGTTTGACCACGCTGAGCAGCATGTAATTAGTACAACGTTTAAATATATAAGGATGTGTCACTGAAATGGAGCTCATTAGAAGTATAAAGGTAATCGATTTTTAATAAAACTTTGCTCGCAACCATATGACTAAACTGGCATGTCGTTTTCCACCTTGCAGTGGGCAGGAACCCATTTTCAAGATGGATAGTGAAACTCCCGTGACAATACAGAGAAGACAGCTCCAATTTTCTTAATTTGTAGCCTCATGACACCACATACAAAAGTGTTTACTACACAGCACAGCCACCTCCACAACACTACAATGAAATGCTTTTTGGTAGCCCTGGGCTCTGGGGCCGCCGCGACCCAACACGACTCTATAAAGCCCCCTTCCGCCCGTAACCACTCGCACACAAGAAGGCACGCACACACACGCACACATCCCAGTAAAACCTGCCGACGGGCCATTTCGTATTGTGCTACAAACAACAGCAGGATGACAGCGCATTCCCTACTTCAGACCGACTGGGCTCTGGTGGTTTATTTACAGTGTCTTCTCTTGCCCCATTCCATGCGACACCTGAATATAGCAACCTGATGTACTGTAAGATTTGGAGTCCCATGCGAGGTTGTCTGCTTACATCTAAACGGGATGAATGACAGCACCCTATGTTAGCGACTAAAGGCCTCTTTCCCCAAGGAAGCAATGCAGTTCAACCCATGACATAAACCTGCTGATGGAAGACCCAGCTGTGCCATATATTCAAGGGCATTGCATGAAGAGGGGCCACATGGAATCGTGTCTGGTGGGTCTTTAGCCTCTCTGTCCGGCCCCCTTGACCCTCCTAACACAGGCCGGACAAGGAGGTCTGCGGTGGGAGGGGGGTGGGGGGTGTGAAGGACCAACATATACACCCCCCATCCCCCCTCCTACAGCACTAATTCTTCACTCTGTTGCTAGTTTTGTACTATTTTTTTCTTCGCTTCTTTTTTTTGTAACATATTTATACATACATATATATCGCTATATAGATATATACACTCATCTTTTTTATCTTTTTGAAACCATAAACTTAAAAAAGTTTAGAAAAATAAAAAGTTTTATGACGACCTCTCCTCTTCTCCTCCACCCCGAAAGGCTGTCCCAGGTGAAAGCTAAGCTCCTCTTTTCATCCACAGCTTGACTGTGTCAGTCTCGCATCCCCACAGAGATATATAATGCCTTCTCCTGACAGCCTCGGTGTAAGGATTTCCTCTTAACTTCTTTTTGTATGTTTTTTTTTCATTGACACTTTTCATCCTTTATCCTTTTTGTTCCTTTTTAGCTGATGCTCTTCTCCATTGTCTTCTTTCTTTATATCTACTAGAAACGCAAAAGAAATAGAGAAAACATTAGTTCATTTGTTCTGTATGCTGTTGAGGTGCATGTAGACTGTCTGTAACGTACATACAGTGGGGTCCAAAAGTCTGAGGCCTTTAGTAAAAATGCTTCTATTTGCATTTTAATAATTTAATACATTTCTATTCAACATTTTAAGGATGACAATTTGAAGAAAAAAATTCAACTGAATGATTCATATGAAACAATGTTACTAATAATAATACTAATAACAACATTTAATAATGATAAAAATGATTTATTTTTAATTTTCCATTACAAATGTTCAAATTCAAATTATATTATTAGCATAACGATTAGGAAAAATTCAACAGAACATTTCTAATAAATATAATAATAATAATAATTATATACATATATATACATACATACATACAGTATTTCATTACATTACAAATTATTCTATAAGCATATTTTGAAGGAAAAAATTCCTATATATGTGCAGAGGTCACATGATCAGTGTCACAATAAATAGTGCAGAATCTGAACTATTATTGATTTTACATCATAATTTACAATTTAATCATAAATGTTTGTTTTACTTTTTTTTCTTCTTCTAAATCCTGAAACTTAGTTTCCAGGTTTAAATTAGATTCTGAATCCCAGCTCTTCAATGTGATCTCAGACTTTTGGACTTGCATGATCTAAAAGAAACTAATTACACAATAAAAATGCAAATCATGTAGAAGGAAAATATATTCTGATTACATTATCTTCTATGCACCGGCTCAATATCAGAAACAATCCTTGGGTGTAACGCTAAACACACATTGTGGAATTATCCCCCAAATCCCGGATTAGAGTAACTGAAGTGAAAATAGGGCTCAGCAGGGAGAGCTTCTGCTAAATTTTTTGCATAATGAGTAAACTGGACTGATCAGAGGCTCGGGGATATCGTTGTAGTCTGAGGAGGATGTTCGACACTGAGCTGAAAAGACGTCCACCGGACAGGAAGAGAAAAGCAGAAAGAGAGGAGGAGGAGGAGGAGATTCCAGGGTGTCCTGGGGGCTCTCATCCTGACAGAAGCTCTCTAATTCAGGGAGATGTGGTGCCGCGTGGAGGAGCCTCAGAAGAGGGAGCGGGCTGGCTTTAATTTTAAGATGACTTTGTAGTTCTTCACCTATCCCTGGAGGAGCACACAGATGTGCTCCGGCATACTGATCATGCCCAATGATGGGCCTCTGTTCTCAGGGTGTAATATCTCTGGAACAGACATGGGAGGCTCCAAGTTTTTGCTTAACAAACATGAACAAAAATCGACTGAGGGAGACGTAAAACTGTTGGTGGGCAGCCATGTCGATGGAAGCCAAAGACACTTGTAACATGATACATGCTAAGTCTTCTTTTCAACATCCAAGTGCTATCTACTATTTAAGTGACAAAACTGACAGCTACAGCAGACAATAAAATAAAATACAGACAATAAAATAAGTATATTTTATACTATATATATAATTAAAAACATTTAAAATATATAACATTAAAATAAAGAATAAATATTACTAAATGTACATCCATATGCATAAAGTCTAGCAAAACAGAAAAGACTAAAGAGAGAGTTATAATTTTCCTTTTATTTAGACACAATTACTTTTTTATGTACATAGCTTTAACTACTGAATCTTGAAGTCCAAAAACAAATGGCTATGCGAGAGCAGAATGTACCAGTTGGATTTTAACAGATGAGGCGATTTTCATATAAGCTGAAAATTTCACATTGTAAGCCTACAAGAAATGGACAGCAAGTACACATTTAATACTATAGATTATACATATAAAAGAAGACTACGATATGTGCTCACATATATTTATATATAGTATTATGTACAAAGAGTACAGCTTTTGCTTCTTTTTTTTTTTTGTAAACTTTTTAAAAAATCCCCTGACAGATGAAAATTGCACAATGAGACAGCTCATGGAATAGACACAATTTTAAATGACAGAAAGTTAATGAGGTAAAAGCAGATAATATTAAATTGCATTACTGTCCGGTGTGACCTAGTTTGAGTCTATTATTGACATAATTCTATGCTAGTTAAGCAGTTGCATTAAGCACGTAAAATAATCAATTATATTACATTATTAACTTCCATGTAACATTTCAATAAATAGATAAATGCAAAACAAAATACTTTTTTTTAGCTTATACTCCATTCTGTTTGCAGCCTAAAACAGACCTCTCAGTAAATGAACATTTGTGCCATCAAATTGAGAGAGATGAAAATCTGCTGCTATGTGGACTGGCCCCTGGCCCAGGGTGGCATCTTACAAATCACTGCATTAACAGAGCTAATTAAACAGGCAATCTTTTAATGGCCCACTGCGGCGTCCATGCAAGACAGAGACTTCCATCTTGTCAATCTGCAAGCTCACACATTCGTTTAGATGATTGCAAACTGTCTCCTCAGCAGTCATTTCATGCTCGGCACAGTGTTTTCTCTCTCTGCCTAAATGCTGGAATTAAATAAATGGGTGATTGAGTCCTAATATAGTTGCTTGATTAGTTTAATTGTCTGAAATAGAGATGGAAATGCCTTAGTCAAGAATATGATAGTCTTTTGCATGAATTAACTCAATCAGATTCATTTATAATTCTGCATAGATATTTAACAAGAGGAAGCATGGTTTATACGGTCAAACTAAACGTGTTTTAGGACTAACTTAATGTGTGGCTGGAAGCACCGAACACAATGCATATTTTATTTCAAAAAGGCTCATAAATCACCACTCTAGGTAAAACTGCTTCCGAAAATGCGAATGCAACTAAGTCAATTAAAATTGTGTCTCCCACATAAATGAAACTGAGGTCAGAGGGCAGCGTAAATATCTTCCCGATGTATGGAAAAAGGACATCAATTTAAATAGCTCAACAACACACAGCACAGAGTTATTGACTCCCATCTGGACATAATATGCTCTCTCCTCTCCTCAGAAAAGGTATAAACTATTTTGATTTAAAGCCTATTATATTCTATTATATAAAAATGTCACCACATAATATTATTAAGAGTGTATAATAAGTTTACAAAAGAAAGGACTTTGTACTTTGTATGTTTAACACACAGTGGAAATGTTTTCATGTCACACCTGTCTTGTTTTTCATTTTCAAATTGATACACACCAACAACACATTGTTCAAAGTCAGACATCATAAAAATGTAAAGAAAAATAAGCTTGAATAGAGAAAATAAAATCAAAATGTTATTTACAGTGCATGTTAAATCTTTTGAGCAACACTTGTATTCCATTCCCACAGAGGAGATTTTAGCTTTTGCATTTTGGTTTTTGGTAAACAATAGTTTGGATGTTTCAAGAAAACAAAGCCTTTTAAAAGTCCATTTTAAACAATTCTCCCAAATAAAATTTAGTTTGATACATGCTACTTAAATGGATGGTTCACCCAAAAAAAAAATTTCTGTCATAATTTAATCACCCTCAAGTTGTTCCAAACCTGCGTTTCTTTATTTCTGCTGAACACAAAAGAAGATATTTTGAAGAATGGTGGAAACCAAACAATTGTCGGTAGCCATTGACTTCCATAGCATTTTTTCCGACTATGGAAGTCAATGGCTACCGGCAACTCTTTGGCTAACAACATTCTTCAAAATATCGTCTTTTGTGGCAAACAAAAAAGAAATTCAAACAGGTTTGGAATGACTTGAGGGAGAGTAAATGATGTCAGAATTTTAATTTTTGGCTGAACTATGCCTTTAAACTCCTGTTTGCTCTGGCACCTGCCCAGTTTTTTCCGTTGTACAGCTCCGTAAACAATTTTTTTGTTTTGCCATTTTCTTAGAGCCAAGTGAGCCTCATGCTGCACAGGGGAGCAAGGACACATTCGTTTAGGTGAAATATTATGTTGCGCTGTAGATTTCTCCCTACAAAGGTGGAAAAAAGCAATGCATCTAATCTATGTTTTACAATAGGCTGCTGTGATTTCACACTCACGGGAGAATGGTGTGTCTGGAGAGGCAGCCACAACAGCTATGGTAATAGACTGAGCAGAACGGCTGTGCCACGCGCCTGGCTGGCCTAGTGTATCTCCAAATGAGATCAGTGGTTATTGACTCAATGCTGTTATCTTTAATCTGTGGAGTAAATTACTTTGGATGCTGCCTCTCTACCCTGGTTTCTTTCCTCTTCTTCTATAACTCCACCCGTACAATTCTATTTGAGGGGTGCAGGCTGCTATTTACTGGGCCGGGTGTGCATGTGTGTGTGTGTGAGACACGAGGACATGATCAACGCCCTGAGGAACTAGGAAACGAGGGAGGCCCTATTTCACTGGGAGGATTACTGCCACCCCCAACTCTTTCTCTCTCATTCTTCCTCTCACTCTTCTCTAAAGGCCTGGCATGTCTTATCACAGGTCCTGTATAAAGTGCTGGGCCACAGGGGAATGTCACCTTGGGGGAAAATCTCTCACCTTAGTGCAAAAGTATGGGATGATATTAGACTCAAAATGATTAATAGGTGCACGCACAATTATCCATGCACTGCATACATTTTATACATGCATCTTACTAACCACAAACAAATGCCTTTCAATTTGAGTCTGTGGAATTCGGGATTAAATGATTGTGCAGCGATTTGTACAAATACAGACATGTTTGCGAATAAAAACGTTCTGTTCTGAATTAATATATCATAAATTGCTCATGCAAAAAGGAATCCGTGCATATGTGGATCAGGTGAAACACGTGCATTAATTGACGTCTAGTTCGAGTTGATCTTGTTCAGTTCATTTGGATTTTGAGACTTCATTTTCGCAGTTTACAGCATTTCACGTCCCCCACACACACAACTACCAACAAACAAGACCCAGTGCAATTCATTAACGTGTACACGATTTGAAAAATTTGCAAATGTGTGTCACTACACTGAAACAAATGCTTTTCGATCGGTGTCTGCAGAGTTAAGAATTACATTAATGTGCAGCATTTTATTCAAATAGAGACATATTT